AGCCGCGCCGGCCCCCCGCCCCCCTGCCTGCCCCCTCCCCCGCAGCCCGAGAGCGAGCTCAGCTTACAGAGCCGGGGCTGCGGGTCAGGAGCGAGGGGCACCGGGGCTTCATATGCACACAGGCATGTGCACACACAGGGGCATACAGACACACACATGCACATCATCAGACGCATGCCCACAGCCAGGGTCTAAGGGGCGCGCGTGCACACACACACTGCATATGGCCCAGATTGGACAGCGCACACTCACGCTCAGTGCTCAAAGACACATGCAGGCCCTGTGCATACACTTACACATGCCCTGCACGCAGAACTGGAACCCAGGCGGAACCAGACATGCAACATGCACACAGACACACACACGTGCACATTGAACAGAGGCATTCAGGGCACATACACGGAACCCAGGCATCTGTGAAACATGCATTCACACACGCACGCACACAAATGCACCCGTGCACACGCACACAGAACCCAAGGTCCAGGACACACACACACGCAGCTGTTGCCTGGTGCGTTCCTTGCACTCCCGTGACCCAGCCCCAGGAACAAACAAGGCGTGCGAGTGTGTGTGTGTATGTGTGTGAGCGCCTGTGTGTGATCACGTGTTTCCACCAGGCCTGCCAGGCTGCCTGCCTGGGGCTCCCTGCACATGGGTGTGAGCCCCCGCCCCCTCCCAGCCCTGGAGAGGACCCAGGAGTCCGGGCTCCCCCGACCCCTCCGCCCACTACCCACCAGGCCCCCCGGCCCTGCTCTCCCCCACAGCCGCCCCGTTCCCAGAACTAGAGTCAACCCAGGCGTCCAGGCGGGCTCCCCCCGCCCCAGCTGTTTGCATCAGCCCGCGTCTGTTTCCAGTTTGAGCTAATGCGGGACTGAGCCAGAGACGCCCCCCTCCCCTCGGGGGCACCTTAACCCCTGCGGGTCGGGAGTGGGGGGCATGGGGGGGCTAGGGCACTGCAGGCTAGGAGTGAGGGGCACCGGCAGGGCGGGGCGGGGCAGGGGCTGCAGGTCGGGAGTGGGGGGCAAGGGGAGGGGAGCTGGACAGGGGATGCAGATCGGGAGTGAGGGGGGAGTGAGTGAGCAGCTCCAGGGGGGTCCGCGGTTGGGGGGGTGGTGTGGTCACCGCAGGGGGTTTCCAGGCCCCGGGATCTTTAATTACCTCCTAATTACAGAGCTGGAGACAAACAACCCAGCTCAGCCCTGGCTCTCACCCCGGCCCCACGGAGCGGGAGGGAACCCGGGCGGCCAGGCCCCCCACCCTCTCCCAGAGCCCGGGCGGGCGGGCCTCCCAGCCCTACCTCACCGGCCCCCACCCCACTCCCAGGGGCCGGGGTGGAACCCAGCGTCAGGAGGGGGCAGGGGGCAGCCCCCCCAAGAAACACTGGGGCTCGTGCGTGAAGGTCCCTTTATTACACAGACGCCCCCCAGCGCCTGGACGAGTCCATCCCGCCCCGGGGGGGTCCATTCACATGGC